ATATATATATATATATATATATATATATATATATATATCTCATTTGTACTTTACTTCATATATATATTTGTTTGAGATCGCGATCAGTCGCATCGCAAGGAAATCGCGTTCGGTGCATGTCAGCGCAAGTACGCTTTCTATAAAATACTCGCCTAAATAACTTTGCTTCAAAGGAATAATTTTCGTCACGTTATAGCATATGGATCGATCTTTCGTTACATTCCAGAAAGTTCGCTAATTGTTAGCAATAACACAGCCACGGTTGACCGGTCGCGCAGATAAAGTCAAACAACAACGCTCTCACAAAAGAAGGATCCATGCTATAAACAAAGCAGTCAAAACCAAGTAACGTTCCCGTCGGGTCGTCACGTAAAAACGGTGACGTCCACACGGTGACGTAGGGCTCCGATGGCCAATCACCCTCCCGAAATTCTGGGAAATCTGCTGGGAGGGAGTTTCGCCTCGGAGGTGATAAAAGGACCACTGTTGCGCCGCGGAATCGATTTCGTTCGCAGATCACCGCTAGTACACCGCTTTTCTATACCGCTTAAACTGCTTTTCGCAAAGATATCCGCACTCGCTTAACCGCTCGCCGCTTTGCCGTGCTAAAATCTGTGCGCACTCACGGCACGTTGCCTGAAAAAGGACCCGTGTAAATAACTGTACATATTTGTGAAATAGACATTGCTTATTTTTGTGTAAATCTGGCCTTGCTGTTTCTCTCTGTTCCTTGTGGTCGTCTCGTTACCTCGCGCTATACCGCGCTCCCGCGCGCTCTCGAACAATATTATTTTTACTTTAAAAGTATAACACAATATATATTATAATATATTATATACTATATATTTCTTCTAAACTATACAAACTAAAAATAAAATAAAATTTAATTACGTTTTTATACGTCTCTTTCTTGTTTATAAGTTTCATTAGCGAATTCGTATAAGTTTCTATCTCACGTTCGTAGCTTGCGAGTTTCTTTGGTATGTTGTTAATAAATGAATCGACTTTACCTATTATTTTATGCAAGTCGTCTAGTACTTGCCGTCGTCGATTTTCTATAATTCATTTTTTTTTTTATATTGCTACGTTCCTTTGCTCGTCGTATCCATTTTTGAATAGCTTCTTCACACTCTTTGTTGGTACAATTTGGGATGCTTCTTTTGACAGAACCTGTAATATATAAACACATGATAAAAAATATTTTGAATATTTATTTGAAATAAAATACACATTGTTACAGATATTTACTTTTTTATATTTATTTATAATTTATTTTATATTTTTTGTTATATTTTTTATGTTATATTTATTCCTCAATTCTTTATTTTATATGTAATTATATCAACGTTTTGATCATTCCTTGGTATAATTTTTGCTTTTTTGATAATTAATTATAATTAATTCAAATTTAATTATTAAATAAAAAATAAGTTACATAACAATAAGGAGCCTAATATTAAAAACCAAATTGACTGATAAAAAAATTAATTACAAGTGATTTGATAATAATTTTCGAAGAACAAATGGTTTTAAAAAAAGCGTTAAGTAAAAGATAATCTAAAAAGCTATTTACGAATTATTAAATTCGCTAGTGTTAATCTGTTAAACGTTTTCTTGGTCCGCCTTCCTAGCCAGCTATAGGTTGCTGCAAGGTCATTTGTGATTAACATCTGCAAAGCCCTTTGTGTAAAATTATATACATCCACCTATTTTTGAAAGTTGATTCATCTGTATGGGCGCTACTACTTATATTATGCGGTATTCTACCTTATTCTATGATGCGTGAGTAGGAGTTGGCCCATGGTTTGTGAATCGCAAAGGGGTAGAAAGGAAGATGACACAGATTTGCATTTAACGATTGATATATATTTACACTATATACAACTGTGAATGTGTCAGTGTTTGCAATGTCATTTGCTTGAAAATGATCCTGCCTCCTGTCGGATTGGTCTGCGTGGCCGCG